CGGGCCCTGCTGAGGGCGGGGGACAACGATTTCAGCCTCATGTACTCCACACGCCGCAGGAGCACCCAGCTCTGGCTGGGCCCCGCCGCCTTCATCAACCACGGTGAGGCCCTAAAACATCCCAGAATTTCAGCCATTAAACCCCCGGAAAATCCCACCTTGGTAACCCCTCCCCTGGTCAAAATTCCCCTCAGGATTTACCTGGGTGTTGTAGGGATTTTTTGAGTTGGTGTTAATGGTTGGGTTTTTTTTTGTTGTTTTCTCAGATTGCCATCCGAACTGCAGGGTGAGTATAGGGAAGGGGGGGGGTTGTGTGGTTTTGGGGTGGAAATTTTGGGGGTTTGGGGTGTGGTTTGTGGTGGGGAGTGTGAGGGGAAAAGTGAGAAAATTGGTATTAAATGTGAGGGGAAAAGGGTGGGAAATGTGAGGGGAAAAGTGAGAAAATTGGCATTAAATGTGAAGGGGAAAAGGGTGGGGAGTGTGAGGGGAAAAGTGAGAAAATTGGCATTAAATGTGAGGGAAAAAGAGTGGTGAACGTAGGGGGAAAAGTGGAAAAATTGGCATTAAATGTGAGGGGGAAAAGGGTGGGAAATGTGAGAGAAAAAGTGAGAAAATTTGCTTTAAACGTGAGGGGAAAAGGGTGGGAAATGAGGGGAGAAAAGGGAAACATGAGGGGAAAAAACACTGGGAAACGTGAGGGGAAAATTTGGGGAAATATGACGGAAAAATGCAAAGAACATGAGGGGAAAGATGAAGGGAAATGTGAGGGGAAAATGAAGGAAAATGTGAGGGAAAATGAAGGAAAATGTGAGGGGGAAATGCAAAGAACACGAGAGGAAAAATGAAGGGAAATGCGAGGGGAAAATGAAAGGAAATGTGAGGGGAAAAATGAAGGGAAATGTGAGGGGAAAATGCAAAGAACATGAGGGGAAAAATGAAGGGAAATGTGAGGGGAAAATGCAAAGAACACGAGGGAAAAAATGAAGGGAAATGTGAGGGAAAAATGAAGGAAAATGTAAGGGGAAAATGCAAAGAACATGAGGGGAAAAATCAAGAGAAATGTGAGGGGAAAAATGAAGGGAAATGTGAGGGGGAAATGCAAAGAACACGAGGGGAAAAATGAAGGAAATGTGAGGGGGAAAATGAAGGGAAATGTGAGGGGGAAATGCAAAGAACTCGAGGAGGAAAAATGAAGGAAAATGTGAGGGGGAAAATGAAGGTAAAAGGTAAATGTGAGGCGGAGAAAAGGGCGGGAAAACGTGAGGGGAGGAAAAAGGGCGGGAAAACGTGAGGGGAGAAAAAAAGGCGGGAAAACGTGAGGGGAGGGGGGTAAAGGACAGGAAACCGTGAGGGAGGAAGGGGCCGCCTCCATTTTGGGGGCCGTGTTTCGGGGCTCACGGGGCCATTTTGGGGATTTTTGGGGCGCAGTTCGTGTCGGCCCCGGGCGGGGCTCGGGTGCAGGCGCTGCGGGACATCCCCCCCCGGGCAGAGATCACCTGCTTTTATGGCGACGGCTTCTTCGGAGAGGGAAACCGCGGCTGCGAGTGCCGCACCTGCGAGAGGTAACGGGGAAACGTGGGAGGGACCCCCCCCAAAAAAAAAACACCTGGGGGGACCCCAAAATAAACTGAGAGGGACCCAAAAAAAAAAAGCTGAGAGGGACCAAAAAAACCTGAGAGGGACTCCTAAAAAAAACTGAGAGGGCGACCAAAAAATCATGAGAGGGACCCCAAAAAAAAACCTGGGAGGGACCCAAAANCGTGAGGGGAGGGGGGTAAAGGACAGGAAACCGTGAGGGAGGAAGGGGCCGCCTCCATTTTGGGGGCCGTGTTTCGGGGCTCACGGGGCCATTTTGGGGATTTTTGGGGCGCAGTTCGTGTCGGCCCCGGGCGGGGCTCGGGTGCAGGCGCTGCGGGACATCCCCCCCCGGGCAGAGATCACCTGCTTTTATGGCGACGGCTTCTTCGGAGAGGGAAACCGCGGCTGCGAGTGCCGCACCTGCGAGAGGTAACGGGGAAACGTGGGAGGGACCCCCCCCAAAAAAAAAACACCTGGGGGGACCCCAAAATAAACTGAGAGGGACCCAAAAAAAAAAAGCTGAGAGGGACCAAAAAAACCTGAGAGGGACTCCTAAAAAAAACTGAGAGGGCGACCAAAAAATCATGAGAGGGACCCCAAAAAAAAACCTGGGAGGGACCCAAAAAACCTGGGAGGGACCCCAAAAAAAACCAGAGGGAGACCAAAAAACCTGAGAGGGAGACCAACAAAAAAAACCAGAGGGACCCAAAAAAACCCTGGGAGGGAGACCCAAAAAAAAACTGAGAGGGAGACCAAAAAATTCTGAGAGGGAACCAAAAAAAACTGAGAGGGAGACCAAAAAAATCCTGAGAGGGAAATGAAAAAACCTGAGAGGGACCCCCAAAAAAAAACCTGAGAGGGACCCAAAAAAAACCTGAGAAGGACCCAAAAAAACTGAGAGGGACCCAAAAAAAAAAATGGGAGGGAGACCAAAAAAAAAAACAGAGGGACCCAAAAAACACCTGGGAGGGAGACCAAAAAATCCTGAAAGGGACCCAAAAAAAAAAGCTGAGAGGGAGACCAAAAAATCCTCAGAGGACTCCAAAAAAACTGGGAGGGACCCCCCAAAAAAAACTGAGAGGGACCCCCAAAACCTGGGAGGGACTCAAAAAATGTGAGAGAGACCCCAAAAAAAAAAAATAGAGCCAGAAAAACCTGGGAGATCAAAAAAGTCCTCAGAGGATCCAAAAAACCTGAGAGGGACCCAAAAATAAACTGAGAGGGAGACCAAAAAATCCTCAAGGGACCCAAAAAAAAAAATTCTGAGAGGGGGAGCCCAAAGGAACCGAATTTTGGGGGAGGGACACCCGAATTTTGGGGTGACACAGCCAAATTTCAGGGTTACAAACCCAAATTT